AGGCATTTTTGTTGAGATCCTGAAGCAAGAAACAACGTTATTCTATATGCTTCCAAACCTTAGATGATCACACACACCACTCCTCCCCGTAAGAAATTACTGATATACCAGAAAAATTGGAGATGTCACAGGTTAAAACTGATTACTTTTTTCGTACTTTAGATTATCTTAGAGAAAATTATTTCTTAAAATATTATCTCTGTAGTTACAGCATTACACACACACCACCACCCTCTGAGGCCAAATCACACCACAATATGCAGAATTCAGTGGAGGTAAAGTGGCGGAAGGCCTGTATGCTCTGTCTGTGGCCTTACTTTGAGATCACAAAGCTTGAGTGTCAGTATTCTCACAGGTGTGTCTGTTTTAAGGACATCTGAAATCTGAAAACCGCCTCTTACTGTGGAGAAGGAAGGTCAGGGTGCACATACCAATGGCGGGCCCTCCTTGCTTCTTCTCTTCCAAGATGGCAGCCAGGTCTTTGTGCACAGATTTCTGATGCTGGCTGGCTGGCGGCTGCTCCAGTTCCGGACTTTTCACTTTTAAAAGTTGATTTGCCTTCTTAATCTTCTGACTGTACTGCCGAGCCATCATAAACACCCTGCTTTTTGTCTTATCTACGGCCTCCAGCCCCGGGTCAGGGTTTTCTGGGTCTGTTTGAGACAGGCCACAGCCGGCCAGGTCGTAGGGATTGTCCATGAGGGGCATCTCACTGGCCAGAGAGATCCGGTTGAGGCTCAGAAAGGAGCCTTCTTTAGAAATGAGGTCTTCCTCAAAGGGGCAGTTGGCGCGGCTGGCTCTGCCAGGCCTGCTCTTCACATGCGTGAGGAGAGCCTGGCTCTCAGGCAGGGACAGTGTGGACACAGCGCGCCCCGCGTCCCGGCTCAGCTCAGGGGTGCTCTCTGCGTGCAGCCTGTCCGGCACGTCATCCTTGCTCACAGGAAACGCTGCAAGGAGACGGTCTCTGGCCTTGTCTTCGTTTTTCTTGATGTAATTTTCCAGGTCATTCCAGATCTCATCGACTTCTTCAGACAGTTGATCAGATACAGACTTCTCGGGCGTGGAGAAGTTACAGCTGGTGGAGTCATAGAGGAAAGTCAGATATTCATGATAGGGGGAGGCCTGGTGGTAAGGAGCTTCGTCCTCACTGAACTGGAGGCTACCTTGGGAAACAAATGGCCTCAGGCTGTCACAACACACGAAGTCGGCCTCCAGATCCAAAAAGGTGCTCCGCTTGGCAAGTTTTAGGCCACTGGACTTAAAACCCAGCGACAGAGGACGTGGGCGCCCTATGGTATCGTAGATGTTCTCCTCAACCACCTGGAGTTCACGCGTGCCCTGGCTGGATGCCTCTCCACCTGAAAGCACGCCATCCTTTTCTGCGTAAAGAGAGCTGTTACTGTGGTCAGCTTGCCTCTTCGTGAAGGCTAGCTCTGGGGTGCTCTTGGGGCGAACGGAGTCCCGGACTGATTTGGAGGGAGTGGATTCAGCTTCCTCCCGCTTAGCAGCCATCAGTTTTAAGTCCTCATAACTGATGTTATCATAGACATGGTCTATGTCATCAATAGTCAACTCTACGGATGACCCAAAGGGAGTCCTCTCCTCCTGCCCTTCTGTTTTGAGGCCGTTCTGCAGTTCCCTCGTTCTGTCACTAGTTCTTATTTCAGGAGGGCAGGTGTTGCTCTCCCCAGCACTGCTGGCCCGCCTGACAACCCTGTGACCAGAGCTGGAGGTCTCAGTGGACTCAATCTGTCCCATATGCCAGCTGCAAGGGCGACTAGAAGTGCTGTCTTCACAGAGTCTGGTAGAGTTTAGATCTGAAGAGGAAAAGGATGGCACGAACATCTGATAATCATCTTCGTCGTCCTCGTTCTCCCGTGGGGACCGTCGGCTAGGAAACAAGGCTTGCCTGATCTGGTGATCAGTCCAGATGTTTCTGATGGCTCCACCTGCTCGAAGCACGTTGATCATGGCAGAACTGCTAGGCTGACTGTTTCTCTGGGCAGGAGATGGCCTTGCTGAAGTCAGCTGGGGAGATCCTTCCTCTCTAGAAACCTGAGGAAGATGGAAACATATCAGCTGAATGACAGCACCATGGAGAAGACACATAGCTCAGGAATTTCTCCTGTGTTTACATGTTGCCTCTGCTAACTAGACTTTAATATTCTCTTTTTTAATTTTATTTTTATTTATTTATTTTTGAGACAGGGTTTCACTATGTTGGTCAGACCGGTCTCGAACTCCTGACCTCAGGTAATCCACCCGCCTCAGCCTCCCAAAGCGCTGGGATTACAGGCGTGAGCCACTGCGCCCGGCCAACTTTAATATTCTTTTATTTTTTTCTGAGATGGGGTCTTGCTGTGTTACCCAAGCTGATCTCAAACTCCTGGGCTCAAGCAATCCTCCCACCTCAGCCTCCCAAGTAGCTGGCACTACAGGTGTGAGCCACTGCACCTGGCTGGGTGTTTATTATTATTGCTATTATTATTATTTTTGAGATGGAATTTCGCTCTGTCGCCCAGGCTGGAGTGCAGTGGTGCAATCTTGGCTCACTGCAACCTCCACCTTCCAGTTTCAAGCAATTCTCCTGCCTCAGCCTCCCAAGTAGCTGTGATTACAGACACGCACCACCACGCCTGGCTAATTTTTGTATTTTTAAAATTTTTAAAATATTTAAATTTCTTTAATGGTGTTCTACATGTTCAGAGAAACTTCTCTAGTAACAAACTACAGAAATGATCCCTGAAAGTATAGTCTTTAATTTTTATATTTTTAGAGTAGAGACGGGGTTTCACCATGTTGGCCAGGCTGGTCTCGAACTCCTGACCTCAGGTGATCCACTTGCCTCAGCCTTCCAAAGTGCTGGGATTACAGGTTTGACCCACTGCACCCGGCTAAGTGTTGATTTTAATTGACTTGAAAAGCACTTCACATATTTTCAAAAAGGGAAGGACAGGAGCTAATAGATACACATTTAGAAACTAGGCTGGATAATGTATAGTCATTCTCCAAACTTAATATTCACAATCTTATGAATTAGATATGATCATACCAATTTCACAGTAAGGAAATCTAGGTTCCTAAAGGTTCAGTAACCTGCTCTACCTAGTCAGTGGTAAGGCTTGTGCTAGAACCGAGGTCTAACCCCAAACCCCCTGCCTCAAAGCAGGATATAAGCTAAATACAGAAAACTTGTAGATTCTTCAAATAAGTTTGGTGTATACTTGGCAAATATTTATTGCATAAATATATAGAGATGTTAAGAGCCATGCTATCTGGTTTCTACTTGAGACTTTCTAAGGACCTTTAGAGGCAGTGCTTGCCCCCCAGGAGTTTTATCATGGTTTCTGATATACCAAAAGCCCCTGCCGCTGACGTGACGGCACATGCCAAGGATTTCTCTTAAATCTGCAGACCCACCACAAACATAGCCAGCATTACCTTGGTTTATAGAATCTAGGCAAAGAGTTTTTATTGTAGGAATGTAATTGAATCCTCTGTTGAGTTAATGATATTTTTACTTCTTTCAAAATACATTTAATTAACATTTAATTGCCTACAAGGAAGTAAAATAGGAGTGATATTAATCATTTTTAAAATTTTTATTTTTTTTCTTTAAGACAGAGTCTTGCTCTGTTGCCCAGGCTGTAGTACAGCCTGGCTCACTAGGCATGATCTTGGCTCACTGCAACCTCTGCCTCCTGGGTTCACGCAATTCTTGTGCCTCAGACTACAGAGTAGCTGGGATTACAAGTGTCCGCTGCCACGTCTGGCTAATCTTTGTATTTTTAGTTGAGACAGGGTTTTGCTATGTTGGCCAAGCTGGTCTTAAACTCCTGTTCTCAAGAGATCTGCCCACCTCGGCCTCCCAAAGTGCTATGCACCTGGCCATATTAATGATTTCTAATCAACGAAAACAATGAGGTCTTTTATGACTTGGAACCCTTCTTCACAGAGCTCAGTGGTACAGACAGAAGTAGATTACCCTCTGATGCTATTCTGCAGATGGAAGAATTAACTGCAAAGATTTGAAAGCATTAAGACCTAATTAGTACCAGGGACATATATTCTAATAAAACACTATAGGAACCTATTGGAAATGTCAAATTAGCAAGAACTTTTCATCACATGTCAATGAAAATGGGATATATGTTAATTGGAATATCTATTAGGGAAGGAAGAGAGGAGTAGAAAAGACAATAAAATTTCATCCTAAATGTTTTTGGGTGTGTGTGTGTGCCCTACACCCTCCCCTCTTTCTTTTAAAACTTAAGCAATTCAATTAGTCATTTATTTCTTTTCACATGAGTGCGCGCATGCACACACACACACACACACACACACAATATTTGTATCTAATAGTTTTCTTATATATGTTTTTTATATCCTTTAATACCTATTCCTCTTCACTTTACTTAGACTGCACTGGTATAATGTTTATAAAAATATAGGCACCCAGTAACTACGTTTTATAAAGTAAAACAAGGTTAATATTAACTAAATTATGACAAAATATATATATTTTTTGAGACAGAGTTTCACTCTTGTTGCCCAGGCTGGAGTACAATGGTGCAGTCTTGGCTCCCTGCAATCTCCACCTCCTGGGTTCAAGCAATTCTCCTGCCTCAGCCTCCTGAGTAGCTGGTATTACAGGCAAGTGCTACTACGCCTGGCTAATCTTTCTATTTTTAGTAGAGACGGGGTTTCACCATGTTGGCCAGGCTGGTCTTGAACTCCTGACCTCGTGATCCACCCACCTTGACCTCCCAAAGTGCTGGGATTACAGGTGTGAGCCACTGCACCCAGCCGACAGAACACTTTTAAAGAGTAACAAAATTATTTTGTGTTTCTCACAATAGCCAAAAGTGATCCTTCTAAGATGATCCATCCCAGAACATTCCCAAAGGTTTTAGAAAATTAGAAAACCTGAATTGTTAACATTGAAGTATCTTTTTAAGGTAATTACACTTGAAATGAAAATAGCAGTTTTTTGGAAGCTGTAAATTTACATCAAGTTAATCATTAGGAAAACTGAAGATGCTCTTAGATTAAGAAGTAATCAGCTAGGCATAGTGGCTCATGTCTGTAATCCCAGCACTTTGGGAGGCAAAGGAGGGCAGATCACTTGAATCCAGGAGCTTGAGACCAGCCTGGGCAACATGGCGAGACACCCTATCTCTACAAAAAATAAAATTAAAAAAAAAAGTAATAATCAGGCTGGACACGGTGACACACAACTGTAATCCCAGCACTTTGGGAGGTAAAGGTGGGAGGATCATGTAAATTAAGGAGTTAGAGACCAGCCTGGGGCAATATCACCAGACCTTGTCTTTACACGAAATAAAAGAATTAGCCAGGTGTGGCGGCACATGCCTGTAGTCCCAGTTACTTAGGAGGCTGAGGTGGGAGGATTCCTGAGCCTGGGAGGTTGAGGCTGCAGTGAACTGAGATCGTGCCACTGCATTCCAGCCTGGGTGACAGAGCAAGGCCCTGTCTCAAAATAAATAAATAAATGTTAAAAAAAAAAAAAAAGAATGAGTGTATGATTGGTCATAATATTGAAATAGTAAAAATCACGATTACTTTTGCACCAACCTAATAATTTTGATACCTCAATTTTACCACAGCCAGGATGAACTTTTTTTCCTTGTCCTTTCACATTCTCAACATTTGAGCTATTTAGCAATGATATTAGCTATCAGGTATAGAACACTGGCTTTGTGCCAATTATTCCACTAATAAGTACTTTTAAGAACCCGTTGCATTTAATCTTTATGACAGTTCTGTAAATTAGGAAGCTAAGTCCTGGTAAGGTTAAGCAATCTGCCTGTAGTCACACAGTTTATAAATGGCAGAAATGGATTTGAATCCATGTCTTAATCCACAGTTCATATGTGAGCTTAACCACCTTATAAACACATGTATACAGCCTCAGAATATATATTCTGGGAGAAATATTAAGCTATTCTTAAGGAATATTTCCTGTTATAAACTACTTATGTATTTATTTATGAGACAGAATCTCACTCTGTTGCCCAGGCTGGAGTGCAGTGGCACTATCTCAGCTCACTGCAACCTCTACTTCCTGGCTCAAGTGATCATCCAGCCTCAGCTTCCCAAGTAGCTGAGTGTGGTAGTTCAGTCAGGGTGGTGGCAAAAATATTAAGGGAAAAATATTAAAGAAAGTTATAGACAACAGTCACAGACTTTCTTGGAAGGCCGGAAGGTTTTGTAAAAGCCTCAGGATAGAATTGTGGCTGAAGGCAGCCTAATCCTCTTTGAGCTAATAGCAAAAGTAAGTAATAAAAGAATGTAAAGGAATTTACCTAAATAGCTTGTTTACTCATGTGGTCCTATAAACTAACCTTTAATCTTTCGAGGACCAGATGGCTCTCTCCAGGTGAGGGTGACCAGATCTATCACCTGCAAATGGTGTCTGCTTTAGGCATTGGAACTTGGCCTTTAATCTTTACCCTCTACTGGTGTTGACTCAAAGTCTTTGTCATTTAATGTGTGTTGAATAAAGGCTGGGAAGGCCAACCTGTTGGGGCTGGCAGCCGTTAACTCCTTTGGGTGAGTAGCCACAGTACCCCTAGCCTGATCTTCCACTATACTCTGCATCTGAGTGAATTTGTTCATCTGCCATGGGGTTGGGGTCTGCCTTTTGGACCCCAACAGCTAGGACTGCTGGCACAAGCCACCACATCTGGCTCATTTTTGTATTTTTTGTGGAGGGGGATTTTGCCATGTTGCCCAGGCTGATCTTGAACTCCTGAGCTCAAAATGATCTGCCCAGCTTCCCAAAGTGCTAGGATTACAGGCATGAGCCACCACGCCTGGCTGTTATAAACTCTTTAACCATCAGTAAATCTGCTCTCCTTAAATTTAATATGCCTTCAGCACATTACTATTAGGAGATGGAATTTTACCACAGAAAAGAGCATGGTGCTTTTTTTCTTGTCTTCTGATTCTATAAGGTTTGGTTATACCCATATGGACCTGGCTTGAGCACTGCTGTAGAAAGTTTCCAAGCACCTCTTGAGATTGAATCTCCAGAACTCTTTGATGGAGAGATTCCTTCTTTTAGCACTGAGAGGGGCTTGGCTCTACAATCCTACAATGGCTGCTTTTAAGGGCAGGGAGCCTTCTGCAGTGACCCCACTTATGAAATCAAAACCTTATGCTATATTTCAGGACAATGACCCAATTAATAAATTTCAAACATTTCCAAACAAAAATATGTACTACCTGAAAAAAAAAATGCAGATGCCTGAGCCATGACAATCAGTTAATGCTAAGATTATGTTTCCCTGGGCGTGGTGGCTCATGCCTGTAATTTTAGCACTTTGGGGGGCTGACGTGGGTGGATCACCTGAGGGCAGGAGTTCGAGACTGGCCTGGCCAACTTGGTGAAACCCACTCTCTACTAAAAATATAAAAATTAGCTGGGCATGGTGGTGAGTGCCTGTAGTCCCAACTACTAGGCTCCTCGGGAGGCTAAGGCAAGAGAATCGCTTGAACCCATGAAGCAGAGGTTGCAATGAGAGAGATTGCGCCACTGCACTGCAGCCTGAGGGACAGAGCAAGACCCAGTCTCAAAAGAAAAAAAAAAAGATAAGACTATGTTGATTTTTACAGACATTTTCTTGGTTTTAATGGAAAGATATAGCATTTATCAACAGGGTGACTTTGGTTCTATGCTATGCCATGGTGTAAACGGGATTGTAGGGAGAGATTTACTTTTTTCTTTTCTTTCCTTTGAGATGGAATTTTGCTCTGTTGCCCAGGCTGGAGTATAGTGGTGCAATCTCAGCTCACTGCAACCTCTACCTCCAAGGTTCAAGTGACTCCCCTGCCTCAGCTTTCCGAATAGCTGGGATTACAGATATGCATCACCACACCCAGCTAAATTTTGTATTTTTAGTAGAGATGAGGTTTCATCATGTTGGCCAGGCTGGTCTCAAACTCCCAACCTCAGGTGATCCACCCGACTTGGACTCCCAAGGTGCTGGGATTACAGGCATGAGCCTTGCGCCCAGCCAGGAGAGATTTTCATAGCCATATTCTTCTAGATACACAACATTAAACAAGGAACCATGACCATTTCTCTAAGAATTGTTAATTAAGCCAACCGATCAGTAGCCACACTGGACAACCCACTCCGCCCAGGAGAAAATACCTGTTCTCCATAGGTAATACAGTTGGATATAGTATCTCCCAATACAGTATACCATTCTTATTCTCCCTCTCCTAAGCTTTTTTCAGGGGAAGAGCAATCAAAACTTGATATGGCAAAGTCTCATTCAATCGCATGTCATCACTTCTCATGTCGGCACAGAACCACATTCTTAGAAGGCGGCCTCTAGCCCTTGTGAATGAAGGCTCGTGCTTGAAGGAGGGAGTCATATCCAGGAGGCAGGGGCTTTGGTCTTACACCGATGGAGGCAAAGGACAATGTGAGGTGGCTCACGTGAGCACTAGGCAGATACGACACCCTCAGGTAAGGTTACAGCCTCTGAGGTGGGATGTAGGGCTCAGGATGAATAAATAATCACCTTGCTTCTCAGATGTGGGTGGGGGAAGGGAAGACGTCGCTAAGGATGAGTCTTTGCTTAAATCAAATATAAATAATTCAAAATTTAAAATACCAAATTTCCAAAATGTAAAATGATTGTTGACACTTGGAATACGGGCTGGGGATCAGAGAGATGGGGAAGTGACACAGATGAAGGGTGTCTAAAATGAACATTTCCAAGTAAGAAATGTGACAGAGCTTACCTTTCGGATGTCTTGTGTTGTTTCTGAAAAACAAAAGGTTTTTTTTTCAAGTTTGAGAACGAAAATGTACTTCCTATATAAGTAAGCACTAATGTTTTATAGGACTTAGAAACTTGTTACTAATAATTGAAGCCCATGTGACTTCGGGGCCCTATAGATCTAATGTTTGGAAAACAGCTGTCAGCTCTGCCAGCTGCATACCCGCTACGCTATATGCATCTGAGCGTTAGGCATCTTCCTGGATCCCTGACAGCCATGAACTAACTCGTGTTCAACATGTTCCAAAAGCTTCTGAACAAAAATATGTTGTTTCCTGAAGAAAAAATGCACACACCCTAGGCCATACAATCATGTTGAGATGATGCTGCTTCTGTTGATTTTTCCACATTTTATTGGTTTTAACTGAAAGATTCAGCCTTCTTGCAACAAAGGAGTGCGGCAAGTGAATTGTGGGGAGAGACTGACATAGCCACATCCTCACAGAAGACCCTTCTAGCTAGCCTGATTATGGGTGTCTCGTCTTTAAACATGATTACACAAGCATAGGAAGTCCTTCCCTCCCCACGGATCCCACCCCCAAGGTAACAAGAGTTAACAGCTGAATGTTTATCTTTCCAGCTCCTGCACTGCCCCACCCTGCTACAATGACTGTTTTGCCTTTTTTTTTTTTTTTCTTTTTTTGAGACAGAGTCTTGCTCTGTCATCCAGGCTAAGAGTGCAGTGGCACAGTCTTGGCTCACTGCAGCCTCTGTCTCCCAGGTTCAAGCAATTCTTGTGTCTCAGCCTCCCCAGTAGCTGAGATTACAGGCATAAGCAACCACACCCCGCTCATTTTTGTATTTGTAGTTGAGATGGGGTCTTGCCATGTTGCCCAGGTTGGTCTCGAACTCCTGACCTCAAGTGATCCACCCTCCTCAGCCTCTCAAAGCGCTGGGATTGCAGGTGTGAGCCACCACGCCTGGCCTGTTTCACTTTGAAAATAAGAATGCAATATGTAACTTTGTATATTCTGCTAAATATTTGAAGACACTTTTGTGAACAGGTAGGGATCTGCTTTATTTTTGACAGCTGTGGAATATTCCATTGTGTGTAAGGATGTACTACAATTTCTTTAAATATGTTTTTTACTGCATGGACATTTTTATAGAGTGTCCTATTACAAATACTGCACAGAACAAACTTGTACATAAATCTGTCCACATGTGAGTAAGTACATCTGTGCAGGTGAAACTGTTGGGTTAAGGGCAAATGTACATTTTAAATGACCATTACCAAATTTTGCCCCTGAAGCGCTGCAAAAATTTACACTCCCACCAATAATTTTAGAGTGATTTTTTTTTTTTTTTTTGAGGTGGAGTTTCGCTCTTGTCGCCCAGGTTGGAGAGCAAGGGCGCGATCTTGGCTCACTGTAACCTCCACCTCCCAGGTCCAAATGATTCTCCTGCCTCAGCCTCCCAAGTAGCTGGGATCACAGGTGCCTGCCACCATCCCCGGCTAATTTTTGTAGTTTTAGTAGAGGTGGGGTTTCACCACGTTGGCCAGGCTGGTCTTGAACTCCTGACCTCATGTGATCCGCCCACCTCAGCCTCTCAAAGTGCTGGGATTACAGGCGTGAGCTACTGCGCTCAGTGGGAGTGATGATTTTTCCATGTTTTGGAAAAAACATGGATTTTTCCATGTTTTCATAGTTTTTTCCCTTATATTTATTTCATTTAAATGTATGGTTTTTCAGATTATGAATATGGATGACTATTTAAAAGTTTTATTGGCAGTTTGTGTGTTTTATGAAACTGCCCAAATATATTCTCTGTATTTCTTTCTTAAAGAGTCCTTTGTCTTTTCTTTTTGATGTATGGGGTTTATACAATAGAAATATTAATGTCTTTATGCCTGTCAAATATACAAGTATTTTATGTCATGTGACTGTACAGAGTCCTTTGTCTTTCTTTTTGATGTATGGGGTTTATACAATAAGAATATTAATGTCTTTATGCCTGTCAAATATACTACAAGTATTTTGTTTATTTATTTATTTATTTATTTATTTATTTATTTTTTTTGAGACAGAGTTTCGCTCGTTACCCAGGCTGGAGTGCAATGGCGCAATCTCGGCTCACTGCAACCTCCGCCTCCTGGGTTCAGGCAATTCTCCTGCCTCAGCCTCCTGAGTAGCTGGGATTACAGGCACGCACCACCATGCCCAGCTCATTTTTTGTAGTTTTAGTAGAGACGGGGTTTCACCGTGTTGACCAGGATGGTCTCGATCTCTTGACCTCGTGATCCACCCGCCTCTGCCTCCCAAAGTGCTGGGATTACAGGCGTGAGCCACCGCGCCCGGACTACTACAAGTATTTTATGTCATTTGACTGTACATTTTATTTAAAATTTCATTGTTGTTGTTATTATTTGAGACAGAGTCTCACTCTGCTTCCCAGGCTGGGTGCAATAGTGCCATCTCAGCTCACTGCAACTTCTGCTTCCCAGGTTCAAGTGATTCTCCTGCCTCAGCCTCCCAAGTAGCTGGGATTACAGGCATAAGCCACCAGGCCTGGCTAATTTTGTATCTTTAGTAGAGATGGGGTTTCACCATGTTGTCCCCGCTAGTCTCAAAGCCCTGGCCTCAAGACAGTCACCTGCCTTGGCTTCCCAAAGGGCTGGGATTACAGGTGTGAGCCACTGTGCCTGGCCTTTTTTGTTTATAGAAGTTAATCTTTGTGTAATCAAATCAAACCTGTCAATCTGTAATTAATCTATTTATTTTTATGTGGTTTGATTTAGTGAATATCAACAAGAATGAAACAGGAAAATATATTTTACGACTTACCACTGGTCTTCAAAACTTTATGTGATCGTGAGGAAGGTTCTGGGAGACAAAACAAAGCCAGCATCATTGGCAAAACCAAATCAAACCCTTTTCTTTATGAAAGGATTACAAGTCTATTGACAGATTAACAGAGCTCTAGAACTTTTGTTTCAAATTTAGCAAAATCCCCATGGCTCAGAGATACATAGGAACAAGATGCTCACTCTGCTAAAATGTTACAATAAATGTTACGCTGTGTTATCAGAAGTTGCATGATAGAAAATCAAAATCTGACTTTATCAATCCTGTCACTAGCAGAGCGGCTTCCTCAGCATTCACTAACACCTACAAGTTGATGACGTTCAATTGTATATTCTTTTTTTTTTTTTTAGACGGAGTTTCACTCTTGTTCCCCAAGGCTGGAGCGCAATGGTGCCATCTCAGCTCACTGCAACCTCTGCTTCCTGGGTTCAGGTGATTCTCCTGCCTCAGCCTCCAAAGTAGCTGGGATTACAGGCATGCACCACCACACCCAGCTAATGTTTGTATTTTTAGTAGAGACAGGGTTTCACCATGTTGGCCAGGCTGGTCTCAAACTCCTGCCCTCAGGTGATCCTCCCGCCTCAGCCTCCCGAAGTGCTGGGATTACAAGTGTGAGCCACCGTGTCCGGCCTTATTTGCATTTTTTGTCTCTCCCACCACTAGCTCCTTGCAAGCAGGAGTCACAAGGATTATTTATCCTTGCATTCCTAGACCTTAGCAAAGCATAAAGTATGTTATAAAAAAAGACTGCTTCAAATAAAACCCAAAACATGTCTGAACTAAGACAATACTTCATGGAGTCTGGTGCAGCAAACATGAATTAAAACCTGAGCTTTGGGTATCTTTTGTGTGTGTCACTCACAGGATGTGATTTTTCATTAGCAACAGCAAACAACGGTTTAAGTGTCTGCAGGCCAATATTAAGACGCTGTACAAAGAAAAATTAGTTGACTGGCATGCTTGATATTCACTGGGAGATATTAAATAGAAATAGTTTTTTTGTGTGTTTGTTTGTTCTGAGACAGAGTCTCACTCTGCCGCCCAGGCTGAAGTGTAGTGGCACGATCTTGGTCACCGAAACCTCCACCTCTCGGGTTCAAGGGATTCTTCTGCCTCAGCATCCCAAATAGCTAGGATTACAGGCACTTGCCACCACACCTGGCTAATTTTTATATATTTACTAGAGACGAGGTTGACCTTGTTGGCCAAGCTGGTTTTGAACTCTTGACCTCAGGTGATCCATCTGCCTCAACCTCTCAAAGTGCTGGGATTACAAAGAAAAGAGTTTTAGGACAAACGCTTGCGAGTCCCATCTTAAGGCAGCCTCAAATGTATTCAGACCATCAGTGAGCTCAGAAAGCAGACAGAACATGCCCTCTTGTCAGGCTCAAAGAGACTTTCATTGTCAGTGCCCCCTGCTATTAAAGCTGTATGACGATATCCTATTTACCCGATTTTCTTCTCAGCCGATGCGGAGCAGAACCTTCTTTAGAGCCAGAGAGTGCTTTCGTGTCTCCCTCAGGACTGTAACAGAAGCCTGGATAGTCTGTGAAGATGACCATGAGCATCAGCAGGACTGCGGTGTCTGGGACGTCTCAGAAAACAGTTATGACTAATGTAGATTTCTATGGATTTTAGTTTTTTTTGTTTGTTTGTTTTTGAGACAGAATCTCACTCTGTTGCCCATTCTGGAGTGCAGTGGCATGATCTTGGCTCACTGAGGACCTCCACCTCCCAGGTTCAAGTGATTCTCCTGCCTCAGCCTCCCGAGTAGCTGGGACTACAGGCATGCGCCACCATACCTGACTAATATTTTTTAGTACAGACAGGGTTTCACCACGTTGGTCAGGCTGGTCTTAAACTCCTGACCTCAGGTGATCCACCAGTCTCGGCCTCCCAAAGTGCTGGGATTACAGGTGTGAGCCACTGTGCCCGGCCTATATGGATTTATTCTTTTTAATCTGACATGGATATGATCCTCCTTCCGTAAGTGGTGCTGTATATGTATCTGAGGGCTTTTTGTTTAAACTGAGACTTGTAGGAGTCTATGAGCTCACTGCCCTCTCTCCCTCTCTTCCCCCACATCCCCACCACCGCAGGCCCTCCTTTTTCACTCCAATAAATCGATCCCAAAGTGCTGGGTGAGGTGGCTCACACCTGTAATCCCAGCAAGACACCAAGGCCGGCAGATCACTTGAGGTTAGGAGTTTGAGACCAGCCTGGCCAACATGGTGAAACCCTGTCTGTACAATAAATATAAAAATTAGCTGGGAATGGTGGCATGTCCCTGTAGTCCCAGCTACTTGGGAGGCTGAGGCAGGAGAATCGCTTGAACCTGGGAGGCGGAGGCTGCAGTGAGCTGAGATCATGCCACTGCACTCCAGCCTGACCAACAGAGTAAGATT